CTCCACACGTCACGATCTCCCCTGATACCGACCTACGGTCTGCTGCCTTGCAAAGTCCGCATCAGCGTATCCCTGCAAGCTGAATCCCTTTACCGTACCTCTCTGAAACGAAATACCAAAGTGACTCGTCCTCCTCGCATAGCCTAAAATATCCATCGCTGCATTCCAGTGTACCAGCTTCGGAGATGCGCAATACCTAGCTACTGCCCTTACTGCATTCGCAATGTCTGGTCTAGTCTGAGTCGCCAGCCACATCAACGATCCTACCAGCTCACGAAACGGAAACTCTGTCGCCACCTCATCCGCATCAAAATCAGAAAGCTTCACACCCGAAGACATCGGAACGCTCCTACCTCCCACTACTCCATATTCTGCTGCTAGCTCGTCCGTGAAAGTCTGCTGAGAAATCGTCAACCGACCGGTCTCCTTATTCCTCTCGTAAAAGCACCCAGAATACCACCTCAACTCTCCCAGGTTCTTCACTGGCACAGACTTGTTAAGGTCGGCGCCAAACTTATCACATCTCTCCGTCTCTCACAGCAAAAAGTGTCATCTACATGTACTACCAAAATCAAAACAACACATCCATCCTCAATCAAACGAAACACACAAGCATCGGCCATGCACTGCTCAAATCCTAACGCCACCAAACACCTCTTCAGCATTGCATGCCACTGCCTAGATGCCTGTCTCAAGCCATACAGACTCTTGCCTAGTTTTACAATCATTCCAGATAGAGCTCCACATCCCTGCGGCAAACGCATGTACACGTCTTCCTCCAACTCCGAACGCACAAAAGCTTGCTCAACATCGAAATGACACAAGTCGAGGTTCAACTCGCACGCCAAAGCAGCCAACATCCTAACACATGAAACAGAAACGGTAGGCGCGTACAACTCTCCAAAGTCAATGTACTCTCTCTGCAGATCACCTCTCGCTACAAGTCTCGACTTATCCTTAGTGGGCCATCCAAACTCATCTGCCTTCCAATCGATACCCACTTAGCGTTAATTGCGGTCTCCACTAGTTGCTACTTCGCCGGAGTAAAAGTCCCCGCTTCCAACAAGATATAAAACTCCCTTTGCATTGAGTCGCTCCAAAGGTGCCGGTGCTCCGACGCCATGGCCTCTTTGTAGCTCTTGGGGACACGAAGGACCCTGACCTTCCGCATCCAATAAGTGTTTACATGAGCTAGGTAGGGGTCGGGAGCATGGCAGCATCAGCATCATCAGTGGGACGTTTCTTATTGGACACGCTTCCCCAGCAAACCCTTGTTTCTTATATCTGGGGGAAATCGCACGATCACATTTCTTGTTGGGCATTTTCCTATGTTGTGGCCAAGATTGAGCTTAGTTTCTCGGCCCTGTTTTCTTTTTTTTCGTGAAAAGTAGTCTAGAATTTTTCTGAATTGTGGGCCCGTTCGATACGGACAGATGAAGATTCAGGGTGGTGGAGAAATCAGCACGGCTTTTCATGTGAAGAAGGCGACGACGACAACAACAGCACCAAATTGACAACACCTACGCTAAAACCTACAGCGTCCTGTTGCTTTCCCCGCTTATCAAATGATGAACGAAGGTTGCGCAAGATGTGTGGCGTGTTCCAGTCTGGAGATGTCAGAAGTCATGAATTGCTCTAGCAATTCATGGGTCCCACGTGTGTCAGGAATTTTGACACGAGCACGAAATTTTGACACGAGACCAGAATTTTGACACGAGACCTCAGAATTTTGACACGAGAGGTTACGCCGCACTTTTTCATGTCAGAATTACAGGTCAAAATTTTTCGAAAACGTGGTCAAAATATTTTCACCTGAGGTATTTTGGACTGAGATAGAGACAAATTGACACGAGCGCCATCGCACACACACGAAGGCATCAACTCAGTCGGCAAGCTCGCACGCAGCTGCCCGCACACCCACACACGTGAACACAACGCTCCCGGGAGTACATCGCGTTAGGGGAACGTCAAGCCGCGGTTAGGATCGTGTGCGTTCATCGCGGGATCGAGAACAAAACACGCCGAGGTTGGTCTGTCTGGACTCTGGACTCGAAGCACACGGGAGATAACCACAACAGCAGCTATTCGGGTGCCCCGCCCGTGATGGGAGAGGTTACAGCAGTGGTTGGTGGAAGAGACGGTAGCTCTGGGCGCACGTACTAGGGGCGCGAAGCCGCTGGCGGCGGTTGGGATTCGGGGAGTGTAGTTCGCGTAGTGTATATACACAAGTGTCGAGAGGAAACATGTCGCAGGAGACCTCAGACTCCCTCTCGTTGACTCCCGGGAAGGCGCTCGGAAAGCGGAAGTCCACTCCCAGCAGTCGCTACGGAGAAGGCTCACCTTATCTCGACTCCGAGGGGTGGGCAGGTGGTAGGGCTGCTTCGGCTGGCGGCAGTGGTCGCATGTCCAACCCTATAGCCTTGGATATGTCGGGCAGTGGCTTGGACGTATCAGGAAGCAGCAGCGTGCTTCTGGAGGGGGTGGTCGCGGGAGCGCACGAGGGAGAAGATGAGGTAGGCGAAGGTGATGAGGAGGAGGCAGGTGAAGAGAGCTCCGACTCGGGCGACAGCACCCGGGGCAAGGCCAAGAGCGGCAAAGAGCGGGCCACTGATCAGGGTGAGTTCTTCTTTGGGAAGGACTTCTTTTCGGGGTCGACTGGGTGCACGCAGAGTTGTTCCCGGGGCCGATCTACGCGATTGTTCGGGTAGCAAGTAGCAGCGAGATACAAGTGTGCTGACATCTCGGCGTGTAGGTCGGACCGGTTAGTGAGAAAAAGGCATGAAGGAACAGCCGTTGTATAACTTGTGGTTGGGTTAGGTACAAGTCCATGTACGAGCATCGGGTGCCACCGTCGTGTACTGTACTCTAAACTTGTATGGACCATCACGCGCCCTCGCGTATGCAAATAAACTCCTCCAGGTGTAAATCCCTTCACGATCCAACGAGCCATGGCGAGGCCAGGGGAATGGGAATGCTGCTTTCTAGCCGTCGGGAAACACACTCCGTGGGGGGAGCGTAGTGACGCACTGCGGCCTGGAAAGTGGCTTCGGGTGGTGGACACGTTCATAGAGGCCCAGACGCTGACCACATTCAGGAATGGGGTGCGGCAAGACCTGCACCTGGACTACCAGCGCAATCGTGTAAGGACCGTATCAAGATTAAGGCTGATTGAATGTTTGTTTCTCTCTTGAATGGTAGTATTCTTTGGTTCCTTCGTATCGAGGTCATGCATTTCCACGGTTTAGGGTTTTGATTGAACGATCTCTCTCTGTGGGCGTCTCACGCGGAGGTGTGAGGGGTACGTTCGCTGTTCATTTGCCCCCCCTTCTCCCACCCGCTCCCATTGGTGCACGCCCCGAAACTCCAGGATCCCGTGGACAAGGCAAAGCTGGCGGACACTATCGAGAGAGGATGGAACCGCAGGAGAAACGCTATCGAAAAGGAAGAGAGGGGTGCCGCAAAGCTGACCGGAGAAGGGACAATGACTCAGGAGGAGGAGAGCGAGCTGTACGCGAGGGATTCTGAGGTGCGCGGATGGTACTTCGGGAGGTGGGGTTTACCAGTCGGGTGGTCGGGGGGGGCTGTGCCTCGTCTCTGTGTGTCAGGGGATAGATTGGTGGCCCGTGTCAAGAGTCCGGACTCAAAAAACTGTGCACAAAAAAATGGGTTAGGGTCAGATCCCACCCCCCGCCCGCGATTGTAAGCACGTGCGTGCTGGAGGGAGTTTTATTTTTTTATGTTTGTTTTTTGTCGTCTCCCCGGGTGGCTGTACCCCTCCTAAGCGGGAAATTAATTGCGGACTCACGACGTGTCCCCTCCCCGTGGGAGATCGTGCACGCACCTTTTACTTTTGTTTTTGTTTGTTAATTTGTTGTTGGGGTGGGGTAGCTCGACGCCCCCGTAATCTTCCAACGCAACAACGGCGTAAGCCGAAAAAATGGTGGGGGGACATCACGAAGGGGGCCCACGTGCAACAATGCCGACAGACTCAACGTTGGCGTTTGGTTGGTGAGTGGAGCAACGCGCCGTATCCTAACTCTGTTTCTATTTTTTTGTTTTTTTTTGCATCCGTGGCTCATGCCTACATCGCCTGCGTTTCCGCTCCAGAAGTACCAGCTCATATCGTCCATCAAGCTACAACAAGCTGCAAAGGAGCAGGCGATGGCGGGGGACGTCGCCGCGAAGGAGCAAGTAGCGGCCGCCAAGGCCGAACGTGACCGCGCTGCCTACGGCGGAGGTTCTTGGAGGTCCTCCGCGCCCTCAGCAGGCGGAGGCAGGGGCGGTCTCTCTGCTCGCGGGGGGAGGGGAGTCGCCGCAGGCGGCGGCTCCGCCACCGGCTCCGCCCCTCGCAGAGTTCCTGCCACAGGACGGGGCTCTGCTGGGGGGGGGCGTGGTCTTGGTTCCACCGCGGGTGGGCGAGGCACGTCCTCGGGCGCGGGAGGCGCGGTCGGACGTAGGCATGTCTCCGCTAGGGGTGGACGCCCCAGAATGGGGGCTGGGGCTGTACGTGGTTGCGGCGCACGCGGCCGTGGGCGCGCCTCATCATCAGTCGGCTTATTCGATTTGGACGGCGTTCTGAATGACGAACAGGCAGAAGACTACTTCGCGCGGAGGGGAAACAGTGGTGGGATAGACGACGTGGAGGAGCTAGGGGAAGATCCCGAGGACCCCCGGGGCGAGGACGAGGACTTTGGTGGCGGCGGGCAGGGGGACTACGACGATGGCGACGAGTCTTCTGCCTCAGGGTTAGTGCATGGGGATGAAGGCAGCGACGGACAAGGCCAGTTCGAGCTCGACGACGAGGAGGCGACGGAACTCTCCGCGGGCAAGGCGGGTCGGAAGGTGCGCTCCGGGAGGGGGGGAGGCGTGCGAAAGCAGAAGTTTCGCGGAACCCCAGGTGGCGTCTCGGGTGGTAGCTCGGAGATAATGGACTTGATGAAGATGGCTGTGACCAAGTTGGTGGACAGACCGAACCCTCAGCAGCAACCGCCCGCGCCCGCCGAACTCGATGCGCTTAGGGCACAGGTTGCGCACAACACTCAGCTCGCGCAACGCAGTCACGACATGGCCGAGCAGAGTCTGCAGCAGTCCCAGCAAGGGTTGGGGTTGTTGCAAAGTATTGCGGCCAAAATCGGCGTGGGACAGCCAGGAGGACATTCAGGGGGGGCGGCGACAGCTCCTTGGGCGCCGCCGCCGACTACTCCGGTGGCACCTCAAGCTACCGCTGCCGCGGCGACCTCATCACCGCGGCCGCCGCCGCCAGCTCCGGCGCCAGCTGCCGCCGCAGCGGCGTCCCCGGCGGGTGCCCCACCTGCGGTGGGAATACCCCCTCCCGCTGTTCTCCCAGGTTTTTCGCGAGAACAGGGGGCTAGGCAGCAGACTCCAGTAGCGCGGGTGGGTGCGGGCGGGTTTAGGGGGGCGCCTTCGGGAGGCCGGGTGACTGGGGGGCGTGGAACGGGAGGCGGTCGAGCCCCGGATGCTGGCGGCAATGAGAAGCGTCCTGTCGGGGTTAGGGGGGGGGGCTTATTCCGGAGGCCAGAGCGTGGGGGGCGGAGAGCTGGGACAGGGATTAAGAGCGGCAGTTCGAATTTCGTGCAGCCGGCTTGGAGACCAGTCTAGAGCTAGGTGGTTCATCTGCCTCCCCTCAAAGGTACTCTGGCGTCATCTTTGTCCTTCGTGTCTTGTGTTTTGTCTTTTGTCCGTCTGCCAGTGTGGTGTATTGAAGCGCTTTCGGAGAGTGTGTACGATGGAGGAGGTGCCTGCGTGCACTATATCGGGTCGCCGGTTGGACCTTGCGTGTCTTCGTTTTCTGGGATTGCCAGATGGCGTCCCCCCCCCCCCCCCTGCGGCTTGGGCCCAACGGCGTGCGTTTCGCGTTTCGCGTTTCGCTGCCATGTTTGTTTCTCTCTTGAATATCCCCTCTATGTGCGCTACCCTGCAGTTATTTTCCGCTCGTCGACGTTCGCTTGCTGTCGTCTTTGTAGTCTAGTGCGAACGGATTTTGACTACAAAGGACGCCTCTTGCGCGCTCCAGCCTTATCGCCCCACCTGTTGCTTAGTTGGACGTGGGCGTTCCCACACCTGCGTCCTCGACATTCCTGTTCCCTAATGCGTGTTTTCTTCGTGTGTTAAGGGGAGAGTCTCCTGGAGACCCTGAATCTCCCGCCCCACCCCCCAGCCCACCCCCAACATACACATACCGGCTGTTGCCCCTGCGGCGTGGTTGCCGGATTTTTTTTTTGGTGTTGTTGTGCCTCGGGGGGAGCGGCTATAACGTCATCCTGCCTTCATCCATGGCTCACGGCTGACTCTGTTACAAGGTTGGAACGGACTGGCTTCGCCCCCGCCCACCCCCCACTTCTTGCAGTTATATTTCTATTTTTTTCCCCTTTGTAATGTTTGCGTTTGTCTTCTTGTCTTTCTTTGTCCTTTCTTCTACGATGTTTCTGTATTTTAGCTCGCTGCCTTATGCCGGTGGCGGATGTACCATCAGACATCTGCGCTCTTTGCTTCATGCCGGCAATAGCTTCCCCAGTGAAGAGGTCACTACCGACATGAAACAAACATCACACATGTCTACCGCTACTCCGTCACTGCATGGTACCGTGGGTTGCTTGCGTCCTGTATTGTTTCTTTCGTTTTCGCCTTGGTGTTTCTGCACTTCTTAGCCATTGCTGTCTTCCGATTGTGGAGTAGCGGTAGACATTTGTAATCTTCGCTTCATGCCGGCTATGGTTGCTCCGATGAGACGCTACTACCGACGCGAAACAAACGTCACGTATGTCTACCGCTACTCCGGCCCTGCCAATTGAGGGCCGCAAGAACAACCCGCCGCCTCGTGGTGGACGCAGGGCATGCAAATTTTCGTTCGTGGCTGCCTCGGTTTGAGTCTGTCCCTTGCTTGTTGTTGCTAGACGGGATTCGGGTTGTGGTGCATCACTGGTAGCCAGTCGGGTGTCATGTTTCTTGACATGCAGTGTTCAAACACAGGGTTCACGATAGGTTTATCGTCACGTGCATCTCGAGAGTGGCCAAGCGAAAGTATTCAGGACTACGTCTTCAGGCGTGATGCCGTGGTTGAGCTGCTGTAGACGGGCAGTGCGTTTCAGCGCACCGCGTTGGGTGATGGAGCACATTTGAATGAAGTTCAATACTCCCGTTATTCACGTGGTACAGCTAACCGAGCCTGTGGACGAACGCAGCCCTCTTGAAGACGTGATCACCCTTCTCAAGTATGACCTCCGCATCAGCTTTCAGCTTCTCTGCAAACATATCAGCGAGCATGCCCTTCGTTGCTACTAGAGTCTCAGCGGCACCTTCTGCCAGCGCCCCCGACCTAAGCCACCACCACCCCATGCCACTGACACTTACAGCCTATCAACCCACACTCTACCCTTCGCCGTTCAGGTAGCTGCGAAGCGACGGGGGTTTTACACCGAAGTAGAAAGAAGTGTTGTTGCGGTAGAAGGACGAGTGACAATTCGTCAGAATGCCGGCGACCGCATACTGTTTACCAAGCCCGCAAGCGCTGAGCGCCACCTGCTGCTTCTTGGCATAGTCAACGTACGGCCAGAGGGCCACGATTTTTCCGAACCCCCATTCAACCGAGACTCTGACGGAGCTCATTGCGGTGTTGAAGGTCTGTTCGAAGGCGTTTAAAACCCCCTTGTACGGCGCCAGCAACCAGGGCGAAAGGCTGTACGCAGGGTCGCCGAATACGTAGTAAGGGGTGCCTGCTGCGTCGTTGAACCACTGCTGCAGATCTTGCAGCAGACCACTTTCCCCTACCATGGCGACATCGTGGCGACGCCCTAGTATGGAACCCCAAAGCATGCGAATTATCCCATCGGGGGTGTCGATCGCTTGATACTTCAACGCGTGCTTTCGCTTCCGACCATTGTACCACAATCTCTGACTACGCTTAGGTCGCGAGATCGCGCGAATAGTGCCGTCGATAGAGCCCCAACAACGCGTGAGCGGGGTACCTTTCTCATGAATTGCCTGACAGAACATATCTATCTTTGATAGAATTGCATCATGTTGCAGCTGGTTTACCAGGTGACCCCAGCGATCAAAGATCGCTTCGATGGTGAGGTTGAAGATATCGCATATCATCTGTTCCGCTATCCCCCAAAAGAGCCGGTCCCGGATCAGCGTCGTCGGACATGCCAGGCGCCAGATCGTCACCGCCAGCGCAAGGTCGATAGGAACCCTGGAAACTCCAAACCCTCCCCTGTTGACCGAACAGACACAAGGAGCAAAGTCATGTTCCATTGCTGCCGTCAGTTTCGGTGCTATAGGGCGAAAACGGGCGGGGGGAGAAGTACCACGCGTGGTGAACGCATGGAGAGTGCGGTGACTATTTGTGCTACACGAGTAGACTGCTGTAGTACAACAGGTATGACCTCAAAAACACATGTCAAAAATCAATAGTCTAGACTACTGCTGTATCAACTGCTTCGCTATCATTGATGCTGTCTGAAACTATGTGCACCTCCGTGATACTCAGGACACGGGTATGATTCCTACGTGCTGAGATGAGAAGCCTGTCCACAGCAGTAGCACAACCCCGACGCGCCCTGCCCGTCGCATACAGCAACTACCGCAGAGTTCTCAAACGCACACGACTCCGACTGACCTGTGAATTTCGATCTCCTCAGGGAGCTGCAGCTCGTGCAGCAGCTCGCGGAAGTGAGGCTTCTCGAACCTAAAGAGCTCCTTAAAGTCCAAGCCTCCAATTGCATCGAAGAAATTGTACATCGGGCACACACCCTCCAGGATCGTTGGGGCTATCAGTTCTTCATACGCCTCCAGCTTTGCTAGGCCAAACATGGCCATCACGAGGAACATGTCCTCCTCTCCAGCTAGCGCACACAACACAGCAAGCAGAAGAACCAGCATGCACTCATCATACCGCTCGTAGCGGATTCTGCCTCGCGCAAGGCGCGCCATCCCCTCGCTCCGTGTCGGATGCGGCGATGAGGGAGCGCGACCGTTGGGTTTCCCGGCGGTGCAGCGATGCAGCTGGGGTTGAATTTTTTGGAACTTGAGGCTGCGCCGCTGCTGGCCTTCGCCAGGCAACGTGCGGCGGAATATTTTTTCGTGTCAATTTACCAACCGGTACCTATTTTCGTGTCAATTTGCCAACCGTCACTTTTTTTCGTGTCAATCTATCTCAGTCCAAAATTTTCGGGTCAATTTAACGTGGGAACCCAGGAATATGCTCGAGAAGAACAAACGATTGCGTCAGAAGAACGACACCAGGCAATGATTTCGGCTACGCTCTGGCTTTGATAGCTCGCGCACCCTCCGGAGAAAGAACGTTCGTGAGTTAGGGCTGGCGGTGCGTATGGCGGAGGCATGGAGGCAGGCACAACATGCAAGAAATCAAGAAATGCCACAACCGCTGTGGCGGTGATCTGATTGGCTGGTTTGAATGTGGCCGAATCAGTTGCACCGCATCTCCGGAGAACCCCGCACCAAGAATTGGTTTATTTTTCGGTCTGATCGGCCAAGCCGGCCCTTGGCGCTCCCTACTCACACCAAACGATCACAGCTCACAAAACGACATCATCACGCGGCAAGCTCGAACTCTCTGGCCTCCACTGATTATGAGACTGTTTTCGCATCAGCCCCCCAGAGGGGTGAAGGCAAGTGCCAGGGATGCGGGAGGTGTCCATGCCACGTGTGTAGACTACATGAGATGTGGCAGGATTATTTGCACGGGGGATCAGATCTCGATGATTCGACGTGTTGGAGATCTCAGAGGAAGTGAAGCATAGAGGTAGCAGCAGCTCTGTGAAAGCCATCTTTCCTTGTTCTGCGCGTCTTCTTGTAGCGCTACATAAAGCGTGCGTCGTAAACAAGTCGGGCGAGAGCCGTCGCTTATGTAGGATCCCAGCATCCCCATGTTTGGTACCCGCTGCAGACTTTTACCACTCGGTTGGTTGGGCATTCAAGACAACGAAACCCGCTCTCTCGCATGCTACATGCACTCGCGTGGCCTAGGGGGGGCTTCCTTACCCCTCCGAATGGCATGGGTACGGCGGTGTCAGTTGTTAATCGACGACCCTGGTTGACACGGTAAAAGGCATGGGTTGTCACCAGGGAGTGTCCTCCTTATCGCTTCATTTCCTGGGACATGTCTTTCGGGCTGCATCTACACGTAAGCCGTGCTCCGTCGAGTTCCCCTCAAGCCTTCGTCCGCACGTTCCGCTGTCGGTGGTACGTGCTTGGGCAGGATTTGTAGTCCGATCAGGGATTGTCCTCCTTATCGCTTCATTTCCTGGGACATCTCTTTCGGGCTGCATACACGTAAGCCGTTCTCCCTCGAGTTCCCCTCAAGCCTTCGTCCGCACGTTCCGCTGTCGGTGGTACGTGCTTGGGCAGGATTTGTAGTCCGATCAGGGATTGTCCTCCTTATCGCTTCATTTCCTGGGACATCTCTTTCGGGCTGCATACACGTAAGCCGTTCTCCCTCGAGTTCCCCTCAAGCCTTCGTCCGCACGTTCCGCTGTCGGTGGTACGTGCTTGGGCAGGATTTGTAGTCCGGTTTTCACTGTTGCATTTTTCCGTGATCCTGTGTCGGTAGATGGTCTATAGACTAGGCGATAGGCATGTGCTCGACATTTATTCGCTAGTAATTCCAATCTCGCTACCCCATCATTCCGTGGACTTGCCCTCTTCAGCAAAGTATGGTTGCGTTCATCGCAGCCTTCCTGCTACGAGCTATTGACAGCGTGGTTTCCTGCCCCATCATTGCCGCGGTATCGGACAAGTGCAAGTTCTGCCTCCCGAGACCAAACGACCGGTGAGTGCAACTACAGTTGCAGGCACTTTCCCTTCGATCGAACAACTCGGGCGTCGGTAGCCACTGACCGTTCTTGTAGGATAGCAGGTGTTGGGACCTGTCGTGAGAGGGTAGTGCAAATTTTGTTGTTGTTGAAGAACGGCACACACTTGATAGAATGGCGGACTACGAGGAATTTTCCGTCTTGCTATAATTGGGAGGATTGTTCGCCAAGGAGTTTGTTCGACGGAGCAGTGCGGAGTACAGTGGTGAGAGACGCTCAGTTTTGCTCTGTGATATATGTTTCCATATCCCCTTGTCGCTCGGTGTGATAAGTATTTACTGCACACATGCATACAACACACGCGTGTCTCGTTCTCATCCAGGAACACTAGTCTCATGTGTGGCCTGCCTACTATATGATCCCGGTTGGGGCGTCCAAAGGTGGTGAAAAATAGACGTCTGGAGTACACAAGATGACAACACACACAAATCTTGCACGGAGTAGAACCGCTCCGCGGAGCTTTTTTTTTTATGTTCCACGGAGCGGAGCGGTTTATCCGAGGGCAAAAGTCTCACGGAGTGGAGCGTTTTTTTTGTTCGTGTCACGGAGCGGAGCGGTTTATCCGAGGGCAAAAGTCTCACGGAGTGGAGCGTTTTTTTTGTTCGTGTCACGGAGCGGAGCGGTTTATCCGTAGTGCGTTTCTTGTTCACGGAGCGGTTTCGTTTACTCGGTAGCACCAATCGCGCGAAACCGTGGCGTTGAGCACGATTTTCCGTCAGAAAAAAACGTCGAAACCGCATGAATATCCGTACAGAATCGACGGAGTACCTTCAATGTCGTGAAAGACGTTGGGTTTGGTACACCGAAGACCGATTTTTTCGCACGGTGTGCTGTGGTTGGAGGCCGCCGGTGATACCGTATGCGTCCTCGCCGCTAGGACAGCCAAACAGCTCAATAAGCAACAAGAATAAAGCCAGCTGTTGCTCAGAAAGGAACCGTTCCCACATCGATACCTCCTCGACTCATATGTCATACGTTCCGGCAACACGTACAACAGCAGATAAGCCAGTACTAGCACTCTAACACCAGGCTTATTGTATTGTGTGTTCATCCAAGTACATAATACTTCACTCAGTCAGATATTCGACATCGACAGCCACTTGCTCTCCCGCACGAACGGCTTGAACAGTTGCAGCTTTAGCCTTCCCAACAGACTGCGCTGCAAGCAGCTTCCCCAACTCCATATCCAACTTCTTGATGATCTCGGGAGTGAAATGGGGGTTAGACCTGAGGAACATCACCATCTCGACACGGTCAGGCAGCATCGACTGCCGAAGATTATTGTACACGAATCCCAGCCCCGAAAACTCCCTCTCTGATTGGTAACTAGTGCTCAATACAAATATACACGTGAGAAAGCATGGGCAAGATGAGGAATTGCGCAGCAGAAACAACGTTTCCGTGGGGATCAAGACGCGGGCTGCCGGCATCCCGCCAGAAACCGAGGACGTCATGGTGTTTGTGTTTGGCGCGGCCTGCTGTTGTTTGTTGTGTGTGTTGGCACGGTTATTATTATATTTGTGTGGCTGCTGTGGAAAGAAGCACAGAAAAAGAAAAAATGCCGCGGCTCCGTGGGAAAAAAACGTGACTCTGTGGGAAATAACCGCGACTCCGTGGGAAAGCCGTGACTGTATTTTGCGGTTTTATCCGTGCTTGTGTGACGAAGTAGCTCAAACCGCTCCGTGAAAAAACCGCTTGTACCGATTTTTGGGAATTCCCACGGAGCGGAGCGGAGCGGTTTATCAGAGGGAAAAATTATCACGAAGCGGAGCGTTTTTTTTGTTCATGTCATGGAGCGGAGCGGTTAAATCCGCTCCGCTCCGTGACATGAACAAAAAACCGCTCCGTGCACAGCCCTAAAAAATAGACGTCTGAAGTACACGAGATCACAACATACACCAATCTGCTGGCACTCATGGTTCCCCCCCTCTTTTGTCATCCGGCGGGTAAGCTTCAACTCCTCCACGTGTCCTACCGGTGAAAAACGTGTCTCCGCGCTCAACAATGTCCGCTTCTACTTTCCTCCGTTGGTGCCAGAGGCCGCAAGGAACACTCGCTGTGTCTTGTCCTGGCGGGGTACTGTTAGGTACAGTACTGGGCCCTCTATAGTGCCGGTTGAATAGTGCCGGTGCCCGGTATAGTGCCTGTAAAATCTCTCGACACAGACGGCGCCCTCAATAGTGCCGGTCCGGCACTACTGAGGGATGGCCCGTTATAGTGCCGGTTGGGCGCCACGTCAGCCCGCAATAGTGCCGGTTGAATACCTGCTGTAGGACACACACACACAGCCTCCCCCATGCTGCCCCCTCACGGGGTCCCAGTTCATGGAAGGCCAAGATGCCCGTCACACGCGACGTCCTTCGAAGCTTCGGCCGTTCCGCCAGGACAACCCTGCTGGCTGACACCGCAACTTCTGCAGCAGTGAGGGCGAAGGTCGAGGACTTCAGGGCCGGCGAGAAGTGGGCAAAGAACTTCGTGAAGCGCAACAACATCCACAGCGTGCGACTTCATGGCGAGGCTGGTAGCGTCAACATGGCGGCTATCAAGGAGGGCATGGACGAAGTCAGGGCCCTTTGCGCGAAGTACCCGGCTAGGTTCATCTTCAACGTCGACGAGACAGGCCTCCAGTGGAAGCTCCTGCCCAGGCGCACGTACCTTTCCACCTCGGAGGATCGGAAGACGGCGCGGGGTTCAAAGAGCATGTACTTCAAGGACCGACTGTCTGCCTTCATGTGCTGCAACGCCGACGGCACTGCGAAGGTTGACATGGCCATCATCGGGAGGGCAAAGGAACCCCGCTGCTTCAAGAGCGCGCCTTCACCTCTCAAGTACTACTCGCAAACCAACGCGTGGTCCGACTCTGCGACGTTCCTCAAGTGGTGGCTTCAAGTCTTCCTCCCGTTCGTTCGGCGCTTCACTCACGAACCTGTGCTGCTGCTGATGGACGGCTGTGCCTCTCACGGTGATCTCGTGGATGACCGGGGGCAAGTGACCGTCAAGTTCTACCCTCCGAAGTGCACCTCCGTACACCAGCCCATGGATCTGGGGATCATTGCCAAGACGAAAGTGGTCTTCAGGAAGGAGTTGCTCGACGTGAAGACATCAACTATGTTGGTGGCTGACACACTTCGCGCCCAGGCGAAAGCCCGCAAGATGAAGGCCGGGACAATGGGGCTGGCGCAAGGGCACCAACCTCATCTGCGGGACGCCGCAGAACTTCTCAAGAAAGCATGGGCCAGCATCACCGCCCAGGATATCGCCAGGTGAGGTTTGAACGTGTGGTATCGCTTGTTTTTTTTTTCAGCTCCCTCAAGTGCGCGTGGCTTTGGTGGTGCGATACGTGGGGACAGGCGAGGACAGCTGTACGGACAGTGTGGCATAGGTTTCTTCCTTTTTTTTTGACTGCGTATTGCAGCATCCGGATATGCCCATTTTTCTTTCTACTAAATGGTCCTCTATCGCATCCCCATGAGTAATTCTTCGTCACTCCCGTCCAACATCGCTTGTCCGCCCCAAAACGGATGCATTGCATTTTCTGCTACCTGGCACAGGTGCTTTGTCAAGGCCGACACGCTTCCGTCAGAGATGGCGGCTGAGCTCACCACACAACACGGAAAGACCCGGTTCAGCATCGCCGAGCCTGACCTGAAGGCTCTCACGGAGACCGTCAACAAGTTGAGCACGAGCGTCGGCGAAGCGCAAAAGCAAGGAGCCGGCATCGTAGACGAGGAAATCAGCGAGCTCTTCGCAGAACTCGACATCGAACCCGGAAAGCCGGTCGAGGAAGAAGCGGTGAGCGCGATTCGGGGGTGGGCTACCATCGAGGACGACGAGGAGGTGACGGAGGCTCTTCGACTGGACGCAGCGGACGAAATGGCGGAACTGCTGGCTGGAATGCAAGTGACTACCGGCGGTGATGAGGAGGACGAAGTGGAGGGCAGTGACGATGACAACTCGGGGCCCGAGCGCCGTGCTCCACCCGATTATACTGAGCTGTCGCCTCACTTCAGCGTCCTGGAAGCGGCAGCAGATGAGAGTGGCAACGCAGACGCGGCGTTCTTCCTAACGAAAGCGAAGATGGCGATGATTGCAGCGCATTCCGCTAGGCGGGTGCGCCAGGCAGACATGAGAGAGTTTGTTGCTGGTACAGAGTAAGGTTGAAGGGCAGCTGGTGTTGCAATGTTGCAATGGTTGTTTGCTTTTCTTCCGGTGCGCTTCCTGTCGTGTTTTTCTTTGTCACCGTTTTTTCTTGTCACATCCAAGGGGGTGCGCCAGGCAGACATTACAGAATTGCTGCTACGTTGCGAGGGCGGGGAGAACAGCTGTGGTAGAGTACAGTACTTATGTAATGGTCATTTATTTTCCGTGCGGTGCGCTTCCTGTCGTGCTTGTGTTCTTGGGGTTGTTTTGATTCTTTCTTGCGACATCCAAGGGCGCCAGGCAGACGTTACAGAATTGCTGCTATCATACGTTGCGAGGGCGGGGAGAACAGCTGTGGTAAATTAGAGGTGTGATACATATGATCGTTTATTTTCGTGCGGCGCGCTCCCTGTCGTGGTTCTCTGCTGTCTTTTTTTTTCTGGCAACATCGAAGGAGGGCAACGAGGACTTAGACGTTCACTAATAATACACATATGCATACATATTCGATCCACGATCCACATCGTTCTCTGTTGGTCCCGCAAAGCTTGAGCGCTGCATCATGAAATCAACACCTCCTCAGTAGTGCCGGACCGGCACTACTGAGGCTTCGAATAACCCTCAGTAGTGCCGGACCGGCACTACAGAGCCACTGTTCTGAATACTGCCGGTGCCCGGTTAGTGCCGCTATTTTCTCGGGACACTACCCGGCACTATAGAGGGCCCAGTACTGTATTCTACATCCACGGGGGTATGCTTGACTTGACAAAGTTCTTGATCTTGCCCCGTTTTCTTCCAGGGACGAAGAAGACGACGAAGCTATGGACGACGCTGCGGACGACCAGGCGCTGGTGCTGCGACCACCGTGCCCGCAGCCGAGCTCGCCAATGCGACCTCACGGAAGCGCAATCATCATCAACAACCACAACAACGTTCGAGGCACGCTCGTCCTGCTCCAACTTCAGACAGGCAGGCAGATCGCTCGCATCGATTCGTTGAGGCGGGCGGTACCGCTCTACAATTGGGCAACGATCCGGCGCCCCCCGCAGCAGCTTGCTGCGAGGCGGAGGATGCTGAAGCGCATCGTCATGGGGAAAGCGCAAGCGGCGCTCGCCGGGACCTCCTACAGCAGCACCCGCAGAGTCGCCAGCAGCGTTACCAGGGACATGGGCAACCACGCACCTCAGGTTCTGGGTGCTGTCACTAGCGCCGCCACAGATGTCGCCGAGCCACACCTGCTTCCCTCCGCGATGACGACGGTCGCCAAGCTCAACGGCGGTCCTCTCGGTGGCGCAAGGCCGGCCATCATGATTGCCACGGCGATGGAGACGCTGGCGGCGCCGGTGCCGGCGGCGGTGTTGAGCCTGACCTCCTCGACACCCGCTGAGTCTTCCGCCGCCGTGTGCAAGACGGCGGGCAATCATACCACCGATGTGACCCCGCTGCTGCTGCCGTCGTCGGAGTCAATGTCGACGGCCGCCCCCTCCCGCGGAAGGTCCACTTCTCCACGGGAACGCGGCGGGCGCCCGCCGTCCCCGTGTCGGTGGCCGCCATCGTTCTCCCGCTCCCCATCTCCACGACGCTCAGGTACGGCCGTGCGCGCGGCAGCGGTGGATGCTTCTTGTTGGTCCGCTGCTACTCGGCCGGCCGCCTTGAGTCTGGAAGAAGATTTCAGCTCTGCTGCCTCGGTGCAGGTACGATGTAGCCAAAGTTCCCGTGACACGGGAACGCTTGTGTGTCTTGCATCAATGCGCTCGTACCCCCGCTAGCCTCTCGGTGGCGCTCGCGCTTGTATGTCATGCTTACCATGATATCTTGTTTGCGAAACTCTTCACAGCTTCTTTCTCTTTCTCCGTTCTCTGTCCCCTTCCCCCCTGCCCTCTCGCTCTCTCTCTCGATCAATATCGAATATCAGGTCAATAGCTCCAAGCAGGGGTCACAATACGTTGGCGCCCTTGATGCTCTGGGAACTCCTCCGCTCACCCCGGTATCTGCTGTTCAGTCTCCTGCTTCCGCCATCTCCGCGGGTTCCAACTATGCGTCCTTCTTCGGAAGGAGTTACGGCCTCGACGACCATGACGGTGACCTTCCGGAGAAGGGGGACAAGGCAAGCCTGTCCGTCCTACCAGCGTGTGACGTGAGTAGCGTGGTTGAGAACGCCTGGGGCGTAATTGTCTCGGAGTTTGTGAAACCAACATGCTGATGCAGGACGCGAAGATGCACCCGCGCCCCGCCTGCAACAAACTACAGAACAATCTATGCGAGAACGGCTAGAACGCCCCAATATCCCGGCGATGCGCAGCAAGCCCAACGTGAGACGAACGGATGACACTCAATTTTCCCCTGACGCCGCGACCCGTCCCCACCGCCCCAAACATACCTTCTCCATCATCAACACGCTGCACCCCTTCAACAGAATCGTGCCTCAAGCGTCGACGTCGGCTTCGAGAACTTCCATCCCGTCGTGGACTGGGCCGAGCCCGGTGAGGTCAGGGCGGTCTTCATTCATAACGTGATTGAACGCCAGGCGTCGACGGTGGGAGAAGGCTGCGCGCTTGTGCGGGCGGCCCGCGTCGCTCCCGGCGGGAGCAACGGCGGGGGCGGGGCGAGCTCGCCGTTACGAGCGGGTGGAGCCTTCGGAGAGGGACCGTTGGGCGTCGTCGAGGGTGCCAGCCTCAGCTTCCTGCCAGGGGAGTTCCCGCTGAAGAGGCTAACGGAGGTGAGAGGCCCCGCGGCCTGAGCGGGCAAGTTTGTACGGGTCGGGGGAGGCTGGTTGTTGACATGTCATTCTACCACTTCTTTGCGACCGGGCTTGGGTAGGACAATGTGGTGGTCGCAGCAGATGTTCTGGAATACACTTTACCACTGTTCTCATACTACAGTGGGAGTGTTCGAAGAAATTCCAGGGAAGGTGAAACGTGCGATTTTTGCCCGTGTACGTTCCGGACGAATCAGTGCTGTAGTTTCGTTGGACGCACCGCGGCTGCTCTGATGTTGACAATTTGTGTGCACCTGCTCGGAAATGCATACCTGATTTCCAGGATGCGGACGACAAAGCCCGGTACTGCGCTCGCGTGGAGATGATCGTAATGAGCCAGTGAGACCATCACCAGTGTTAAGTATTACAGTATTATGTTTTAGGAAGCGTCAAACTACAGCACGCGAAACGGCCTGATGCGGTGACGGTGGGGGGTGTACACCAGCCTTGTCGTTGTGGTCCACATGGAGCCCGCCGAGGCCGTGTGTCGTTTGTGACACGCGTTTGTGGGCAGCATGTATGGGTGCAAAGCCTCCCACCCACTCACACAACAGATGAAAATCATCTACCAGCATGCCCGCAGCGTTGTTTTCCTTCCCTTACGATGCCATCATGACCTGAAGCAAAGACTATCACGTATTACGAATATTTTGTGAAGTGTGCAGGATACATACATGTGTTCGTAACCGCCTCCCACCCTCCACCCACGCGGCGTGTGTTGCCCGCTGTTGAGCTGTTGCCCTCGCACAGCCTCGTGAACAACCCGCATCCGAACATCGTCGGGGCCGTCGCGATCGACGACCGAGCAGCGGCTGTGGACATGCCCATCTTGCTTCCGAGGGCAAACGGAGACTTTGAACAAGTGCTCAAGCACGGCGGCTGGACCATGCCCGCCAAGCTGAGGTGTGTGAGCTTGTGCATACGTATACCAATGCAGCTGCGTCGCTGTGTTGGGAAGTTTGTGTGATTGAGGGAAACGGGGTGAAATGCCCCCCCTTGACCTGAACCTCGCGAAAAATGGAAAATGTGACTGCCACATGTCTACAGAGGTACATACACACGAAGACGGCATTGGGAATCATGCTCCGCGATGCTTTCATTAACAGGGTAACTCAAGAAGGGTGTGGTTCCGACAAAAATCCTCGCATATTTCACAAATGCAGGCTGTAGTGGAGTGTAAAGTAGTAATCGAATCGAAGGTTCTTTGAAGTACCGGGGAAATGATGTTACAGCTACGATGAGGCATAGCACAGATGAGGTGTTGTGAGCGTATTGAAGCTTGGCAGGCATCGTTTGTTGCACGGACAGGCCACCGTTGCACGCCTCGTATCCCCGAGTCTAAAGACTTGAACAACTCGCTTTCCAAGAAAATGATCAAATTGTCAGCTCTTTTGTCGGCTCTCTGAGATGTTCTCAACTACATTCTTACATTCTCGCCACGAAACATTGTTTTGCGCGAGAAAAGTCGAAGATTCACATCATAGTCCTCCCTGTTCTGACTGATAGTCACGACACACGCGTCCCTCCTGCAACTACCTCGGCAGCTGCCTGCAGCAGGTCGCCTACGGCGTGCGACACATGCACAAGGCAGGAATCGACCACGGTGATCTCAAGCTAGCCAACATCCTCCTGCTTGACGGCGGGGGCGGGGGATTTTTGCCCAAGATCTCCGACTTCGGTTTTGCCCGAGGTGAAAGAGAGATAGACCCGTAAACCACGGTTTGCCGGGGGGTTGGGGGCCAGCACACGTCGACACGGCGGAGTAGTAGAGAGATGCACCGAGCCTATGTCGCGTAATGGCATGATAAGTGTGCGTATTTCCATCTCTGGAATGACTGGGTGTACAGGGGCGGGAGTGCATCATCATGCGGCGGTGGTCCAGAGACAATTTCGAGGTGAAAAGTCCACAGGGAGAGGAAGAAAATGAGCACATTGACCCCCCCACCACCAAAACCTTACAACGAGGCGAGACAAGAGCAACCCCCGCCCCTGTCCTAATACTATACTGATCCAGCGCTGGGAGAGATGCGTCCCAAGATGATGGGAACTCCAGGGAGCATGCCTCTTGAGGTGACGCAGGCAGCGGTACCAACTTGCCCAAGCCAGGACACGTTCGCGATGGGTGTGATGGCCTTCACCGTGTGCTTGACCCCCGACAAGGTGCAGGCGAACATATTCATCTCGCCGGTGAGACTAACGGAGAGGTCGAGAGTAGTTTTTTTTTCTCAACAGTAAAAATAACCTGGATCTCCAGTGGTGGGATCTCCGCTATCTGCGTTGAACTACCGGTGTGTACAATCTTTCCTGCAGAAGGGCGGAGAGAGCAGTGCCGTTGTGGAATTTCGCGTCAAACTACCCACCACGGGAGAATATTGTTCCGAACTGTGCGCGGCCCATTCGGTGTTCATCCACGACACGAGCACGTTGGTTGAGTACGATTTGAAGGGAGGGTTTGCCGGAAGACTTTGGAGCACATCTCCTCATTCGGGGTTGCTATTGGGTATGGAAGCTTCTTCTTGTTCTTGTCTTCACAATGAAAACCGTTCCGGTCTCCGCTCTGTGCCTACTAATGTCTGTACTGCTCCAACTGACGCGGACGCCTTCCGTGGTCACAAGCCAACTGCCCCCAAAGGGAGGGTACACCTTTCTAAAAACAAAAGAAATAAAAGTGGACCTCAGAAATATCTTCCAAGGCGCGATTTGCTTTCTACCCAAACGAAAAAGAAAAACAAAGGACAACTAACCGGGATGCAGAGACTTGTGCATAACGGAATTTGATTTTCCTTATATGTACAATTCTGTGAGAAAGGCAAAGACGATGACAACAACAAAGCGCTATCTCGCAGAGAGAAGTACGTTATCCCTGCAAGGAATGGTACAATCGTCCAGTCAACAACGCGTTTGGAATCAAGTGCAACGTTGGGGGAGGGGGTATGGCTTCGAGGTGATTGCATATATATGCAGACTCAAACAGCCGCACCAATCCAAGCTGCTGTTTACTAACAACATCGGGGGGGGAGGAAAACCAAGAGTTTGTGATGATTTTGGTTGCCCTTGGTTTCCACAACATCTTGCGTTAAATTATTTGTTCTTGTGCCTCTCGCCTCGTCGCTTTGTCGTTGGGTGGAAAAGCACCTTTCACTGCTACGGAGGCGAGGTCAAGAAGGCCCTGGAGGCACAGGGGAGCAGTCCGTTCGCCATGGCGGAAAGAGATATATTCGAGGTGTGTACGACCTGTCTCGCTTCTACGCCACCTAACCATACCAGCCATGTCGTTGCTTGAGTCGATCAAGACATGTTTCCTTGTCATGCTCCCATGGCCAAGGTTACGCCGGGGGAGTATGCTTTACGTTCTCCCTGCAGGTCGAGAGGTAGGTAGGAAATGCGTGGGCGACAGGCATGAAGAAGGTTAAGGTCGTCATACTCGTTTGTTAGGTTTCGCTGTGGCTAGGCTGCTATAGACTGATAGGGTCCTTCCGACCGAACGTTCCCGATCGTCGAGAATTTCGTATCAGGGTTGGGGGGGTTCGAAAAGACAGAACCCGAAACGCATGGAGGTGCGTTCTTCCTAGCCCGCGTAAATATCGATTGCTTCCCGGGGGACCCGTCGAAAGCTGCTTCTCTGCAAACCCTTCAGTCTGCTCCGGTTTGCTTGGAAATTGTTAACAGAGGTTCTCCTTGTTAAGCATTTTTGTGTTTTAGGGGCTGCCTCCTGAAAGTGGGGTACAACGACAGATTGAAACTCGTCAAATTTTGTTGTGTATCTACCCTATTTCAAGTTTCCGAGCAGACCTTCATTCGACATGTCGTTCACGCTCATGATTTGACGTGTGCCACACGGTAGGTCATGAATATTTGGATGTCCGCTACATAGTCTACACACCATCGCGCTGACTCAAACAAGAAAAACCGCATTCCGTACGCCAACATTCACTAGTCTACTGCACCATGTACCATGCCCTGTGGGCGTTTCACAGCCAACCCCTCCTCCCGCGACACGTATTTCCGGTACTACTACCATGTACCAATCTTCTCGGTGCTGCTACTCTACTTAGAGGAAGGTCATGAGGAGGACAATGACGACAGGCGCCTTCAAGATGCTCATGACGGTCGACAACCTGCATCCGGACCTGGGCTCGCGTCATGTCAGGTGCATGGTGAGTTAATTGAGCGACGACTTCCGACCTCCGCGGTAACGCCACACACCATAGACTACTATCACCACTGCCCACCTCTATCGGCGATAATGGTGCCCGCGTGAGAGTATTGAGTCTTCCTTTGCTTTAGGAGGGGAGCGGGGAGTGTTGTTGTTGTTGTTGTTGTTGTTGTTGTTGTTGTTGTTGTTGATGTCGTTTTGCTGTTGTTGTTGCTGGCTTGACATGAACAACCCGTTTTGCTTGGAACACCAGAACCTCTTTACTGCATATCGATCCAACCTGTCAAATGGTCGCAGCTTCACCTCGAGGATTCTGGGATATGTGATTCCTACGTGATTCCTACGCCTACCCCGACCCAAACCAGAAAGACTTCCGCCCGGGTTGACCTGCATGGCCGTTCTTCGCCGTGTTTGATTCTTGAAGCGTCACGGCGGTTGCCACAAGAATACATACCAAGTATTGAAGGTGCACTGTAGCTCAAGTACCTCCCTCATGTTGTTGTACCGTTCTTAGCCTTGAGAGGGCTCGTCTAACCTCCACGCATTCCCTATCATGTGTCCCGTTCCGTCACGGTGACTGTTTGCGGCCCATGCCACACATTTATCGGGTGAGGCTGTTGTGGTGATGTATTGACTTCGCGAGAGGTAGACGACCGTCCTTCACACGGACGAAAGAGGGAGTGCTCAAAGAGCGGCTCCCACAGCAAGGAGGGGCCCCGTGAATCATCGCGGTGCCCCCTACCAAACGGCAATCTTACCAGTCTTCGTGGCACCAAATCATCCAGCACATGTATCCAACACCAATGTTCGCAGACCCACGAACACC